GGAAGTTTAAAGAGGGCACATCTTTCATCTATCATTTCTCCACCGGATGTGCCCTCCATCTCTACTTCCCATCCACTGTCGCAGCAAACTGAGCACTCACCCTCCTTCTCTTTGTTGTTGCCATGGAAACCACCACTGTGTTGCAAATGGCGAGGGCCAGAAAAAAATCCAGGTAAGCATCTGTCTTCTGGCTGTGGCTGAGGCTGCCGCTAATCTTCTGAAACAGCTTCCCGTCTGGGACCACCTCAGTTTCCTGTCGGAGAGCAAGTTAATGATTTTGTTAATGAAACACTTTTATTAGTAGATTTCTTGCTTACGTTACGCTTTTCTAGCTTTGACTTGAGGAGACTGGATAACGTTTGTCTGTTTTCATTGTGTTTTTGTTTGGTCCATGTTTAAGGAAGAGCTGCGAGGAGAGAAGGACAGAAGGAAGGGAGGAAGTGTACGGTCATACGAGCATTCAGCTCTGTTTGAGACGCAGCATGAGGAGTGCTAAAGATGGGTTGTGTACTACATTGCTGGCATAAACATAAGACTTTTTCTGTCTCCGCCTGTATGCCCAGGCCTCCGCTCTCTGCCCCGCAGATAAAAATAGGCGCAGAGTCACTGTACTGTAAATCAAGACGACGATGACTAATCTATAGTGCACATTTACAGTTTATGTGACATCACCGGCCTGTGCCAAATGATGCTCAGCATGACCATATGTCCTGTCACAGACACAGGGGCAGCTTTGAGCCAAAATGGATGTGCTCATCACTGACACCTAGCAGCTCGGCCATCTGCAGCAGGGACTGGGACCTTCTGACAGAAGGTTGGGTCACATTTGGGTAAAAAAGTAAGAGTTTGAAATTAGGTTGAAATAAGAATTCAGATGTGAAATAAGGCCGAGGGCGGACTTCCTCGTTTAAAACTGAAGTTGTGGATTCCGCAATAACTGAACAACAGATTTGGAGGAAAGCAGGTATCCAGACAGAGAGAAAAAGGAAAAATAAACATCATCGTACCAGTGGGCTGCTGAAGGCCACATCACTCTGGGCATTTCCTGTGACTTTGCTTCTGCGTCGGCTGCCATGGCCATGTGTGTCTTCAGCGTTGGCTTCCTCACTATCCAAGGACCAACGAGTCGGTAGAGGTCGTGCATGCTGGTTGAAGATGACCTCCTCTTCTGCCTCGGGCTCATCCAGGACAGCCAGGCGAATGGCTGCAAATCACCCCCAAAAACATGTTGACACATGCATTAATACACTAACAGTGCTGAGGGACTGTTTAAAATACGAGATTAGACAGCTGAGTGGAAGGACTCAGAGTATTCAGCAAGATTATTAATAATTAAGAGAGCTCTCTTAATATTTCTGTTAAACTAGTGATAACCTTCTGATTCTTTTATCCTAGTTTTCTGTCTGATTTATTCAGACATCCAAATTTTCATTTGGAGAAATCTGCATATGAAAACACCATTTGTAACAACGTTACAAAACAGGTCATAATCGTGAGGTTAGCTAAACTGCATCAGCTTTAGGCTAAAATAACTCAGTGAAGATGTTTACCGTTCTCTTTGTGTGGGTACTCGGTTCCCATGATGGAGCATCTCCGAAACACCATCTTGTTCTCAGTCAGGGTGCCTGTTTTGTCTGAGAAGATGTATTCAATCTGCCCCAGGTCCTCTGTGATGTTCAGAGCCTTACACTGTATGCGGCTGTCAGTCTCCTCGTCGTACAAATCAATATCATTAGTGATGAAGAAAATCTGGCCAATCTTGACCAACTCGATGGATACGTAGAGAGAGATGGGAATCAGGATCTTTAGAGGAGAGGAGTAAATAGAAAAAAGGTGAAAGGTAACCCAGAGAGTAAACAGGAGGACAGTAAATGAGACAAGAGGAGAGAAGATTAGTTTAATGACTTCAAAATGAATAACAACACCCTCTAAACCGTCAGAGAGAGCAGTACCTGCAGCAGGATGATCATGGTGAAGAACATGTAGAAACTAGTAAGACTAGGCCTGTACAGATGACCGCTGGTGGGGGGTACCAGGTAAGGGGGCACAACAGGCATAGCATTAAGCCATAAGTAGTGACCTGCATACAGGAGGACAGCAGGATTAATCACTGACTGCAGTGCACGGAGGAAAGCTATTATTAGCAGCATACCGTCCTCTGTCTTCTGTCTTGATATGAGCTTGGGCTTGTGCCCATTTTTTTTTATTGGAAGTTAATGTCCCCTCATAAATGTAAAGCCATCAAACATGAATCATTTTGTGTAGCGATTTTACGGTTAAGAGATGTAATTCATTACTGACCTAGTGCTCCGATAAGACACATGGTGAAGAGGAGAATGACGCAGAAGAGGACGTCTATGTTCAGCCTCCGCTCAAGTTTGCTGCGCTTGTATCTTGGCCCGCTGTTGTTGAGCATGGATTTGGTTTCACGGCCTTAAAAGAAGGAGGAGAAGGTGTTGATTCCACACCCCACATGGTGAGTGAAAATCGGTATCACACGTTAAGACATGCAGTAAGAGACTTTACTGTCATTGTGCCACTGTAACAGCATCACATTAGGTTGTGCTCACTAAAAAAAGTAAAAAAATCTTAAATATTGTAATAAAATACTGTAATAATATACATTATTACAGTATTACATTTGTGCAAAATGAACATCATTTTCATCTGTTCGATCTCTTGAGTCCAAGACTCCGAATTCATAAATGCTAAAATGTTAAATAAACACTAAACATGGTGGCAAACGTCATCATGCTAGCTTTGGTTTTTGTTGTTGTTGTTGTTGTTTTTTTTTAGCATGCTAACATTAGCATACGGGGCTAAAAATTGATGCCATGGTGGAAGTGCTGATGCTTGTAGTTCCTTGAGCGATGGTACACCAGTTTGTCACAATGAAGACTGATGTACCAGTACATCTTTGTTCCCATCTTCATCTGTGGTCATGAGGCTACAAGCAGCAACAGAAATAATAATGTCGCTGATACAAGTGGCAACAGGGCTCTCTCATACAGACAGTGTGAGGAGCATAGTAATTTAAGAGGGACTCAGAGTGGACTGTAAATTCCTCCACAGTTAAAGGAGCCAGATGAGGTGGTTTAGCATCCGACTATGATGGCTCCTAGCTCCACCTAGGTGAAGTGTTTTGTCCTACAAAGACCAAAATGTAGGCAAGACAGTCTGGATGAGTTCTATCTCTTAGCTGGCTTGTCAATGCCTCGTTGTCCCTCCAGAAGATCTGGTGGAGAGAGAAAGGTCTAGATGTCTCTGTTTAGACTGCTGCTCCCATGACCTGGACCTCCATATGTGAAAAAACAAGCCAGCATCTGTGTTTTTGCTTTTTACCAGTGCTGTCATGGTCTCAGGCTTTGGTCCCAGAATTTTGAAGTCATTGTTGTTCTTGATTCTTGTTAAGTAGAGTTTCTGTTTTGATTTCATTTACATACCACTATTTGGCCTAGTGTATATGAAGTGTGAATACTGGTGAAGATGATCGGCTGTTCTAGGGTTGGTTCTGAACCCTTGTTTGTTTTTCACTCAGTCCTATTTTAAGTTTGTTATTTGCGTTTAGCTCCCTCATTATTAGGAGACTGGATAACGTTTGTCTGTTTTCATTGTGTTTTTGTTTGGTCCATGTTTAAGGAAG